TCTTCCATAGCCAGTGCTCAGTAATACAAACATCTCTTGATTAATATTTGTAGAGTGTCTGAGATGGGTTCTAGGAGCTGCAGAGTGTAAATACAAACTTTATTTTCCACAGGTAGCTAAAAATCTTGAGTTGCCAGTGACCAAGATATCCTGAATTCATATCTCAATCTACGTACCCTTCCATCCAGACTCTTCATAAAATTATTTTTTCTTCTTTTGTATTTTTTTTTCTGGGGATGGTTAATTGTTGATGTGAAGGAACTGGTCTGCCACTACTCCTCCCCCCAAACCTCCTATCTTCTAGTTGAACCAGCACCCTAGGAATAGTATTTTGTAGTTAGAAATCTTGACTTAAAATAGTCCCTTTTTGCAAAGGACAGAAAGAAGACTTTTCATTGTAGCATCATTAGCAAAAGATGTAGAAGACAGATTCTATTTTGGGGCTGGATTCATTATAAAATAGTGTCTTCTAGAGAAGAACAACAAATGTCCTTAGGTATGGTGACTCCAAAAGAAAATACAAGAGTAGCCATGTAATATAAATTGTGCTCTGATTTTTCTTTTACTGTGTGTAGGATTTAGTGCTTACCTTCAGATTTCAGTGCCAGAAGATGAACATCAATGTTTTCACAAAATAACAAATAAAGAATTTGCCGGAGGCAGTGCAGTGCAGTAGAAAGAAGTCTGGTCTTACCTACCACCCGTGTAACCTTGGACAAGACCAAGGGTGGGGACCTGTGACCTCGAGGCCACATGTGGCTCCCTAGGTCCTCAAATGGGACCCTTTGACTGAATCCAAACTTCATAGAACAAATCCCCTTAATAAAAGGATCACTTTATTTGTTTGTTTGGTTATCTATCTATCTATCTATCTATCTATCTATCTATCTATCTATCTATCTATCATCTATCTATCTATAACAAATGCTTTTTAAAAGGATCCTTTTATTTATTTATTTGTTTGTTTGTTTATTTATTTATTTAAACAAATCCTTTTATTAAGGAGATTTGTTCTGTGAAGTTTGGATTCAGTCAAAGGGCCACACTTGAGGACCTAGAGGGCCACATGTAGCCTCGAGGCTGCAGACTCCCCACCCCAGGACAAGACACTATCCCATTTTGAGCTTCAGGCTCATCAATTAAAGGGATGTGGGGATCAGAAGATGACCTTTAAAGTCTTTCCCAACTCTAAGTCTGCCATCCTGTTATCCCAAGAAAGTTGGACATGTACTGTGATACTTTAACTAACCCTAAATTTATGCTGTTTATAAGGGTTCAGATTACATATTATATAATTACAAGTTGGGAAAGGAGCTGCCTTCACATTAAATGAATGCCAATTGAGCTTTGGAGTCAGAGCTCCCTAAGGAGGTCATCAATACATAGGGCATCTGGAAAAGCCCTCAGCCCCAGAAGCCTAGTTTTGTGAAGTCATTGTTTCAAAAATTGTCAATGATATTCTTAAATCAGCTGTGCCTATTTCATTCTGGTGCCAATAAAATCCAGTGACTTCCTATTGCAATTAGAGTCTGATATCATTTCCTCTGGCATTTAAAGTCCTTCCTGACCTAACTCCAACCTCTTTTTCCATCTTTTTCACTCTTTCACTTCCCTTCATACTTTCTATCATTCATCCAAACCAGCCTTCTTATTGTTCTTTATACCTTGTACTCCATCAGTGGGTTTGCTGGTAACAGGATATTAAAAAAAAAAAAGGTATGCACAACTCACATTTAAGCTTAATCTGCATCATTAACATTTTCTCTATCACTTTATTAAGTCTAGACAATCAACCAAACAATTCATCAAGCCCTGATTGTAGTGATTGCAGCAGATTTATAAGATATTAATGCTCACAGTGAAAATTTAAAAATTGCTGACTCTAATACACCCCTGAATCTTCACCTCTACTTCTTATGATCTTCTATTACTTTCAAAACTAAATTCAATACCTTAGACATGAGGTTTCCTGATCCTCAAATTTATATTTATTTTGAACAGGTTCTGTGTATAGAGTATTTCTATATTTACATGTCTTCTCTCTCAATAGAAGTTAAGCTCCTTGAGGACAGGATATTTTTCATGTTTCTTTTGGCATCCCAGTGCCTAACATGGTGCCTAGCAACAAGAAGGCCCTTAATAAAGGCTTGTTGATTGATTGGTTGATCTTAAGCAAAAATTGGTTGACCTTGACCTTGATCTAGTCCTTAATTTCCTTATCTATAAGAGGAGGTGGTTGGATTCTTAACTTCTGAGGTCCCTTCCAGCTAAATCAAAATTTTTATCATTTCAATTATTTTCCCTATTCTTTTTATATTTTACTCCTTAATTTTTTCCTTTTATATTATCATGAATTTGGCAAACATTAGTAAACCTTAATATATCTATAAACATAAATAAACAGAAACAGATAACCTATGAAAACTTGACATATCAACTATATATTTATATATAAAACATGTTTAAAATGTATACATATATTTCAAACTTAACATGGAAGTGTCAACCCTACCTATGTCTCCCTTTGAATTTACTTCTACTTTTTCTGTTTATTTTTTAAATGGAAGAGAAAGAAATGGTAGCTTTTACAAATATAATTTCATTTGATACACAAAATAACCCTTTGGGTTAGGTGCTATTATTATCCACATTTTACAGTTGAGGAAACTGAGGTATAAGGCAGTAAAGTGACTTGCATCTGAGGTCAGATTTGAACTCACGTTTTTTTGACTCCAGGCATAGTGTTCTGTCCTCTGTGACACTAAAAGTTTCTGCAGTGACTCCTTGATGTTATTTCTTAATTTTTGGAACATTATTAAAATCAAATAAGCTTAGTCACACATAACAAATCCACACACTGGCTGTTCCTGAAAACATACATCTCATTTTCTATATAGTCATATTACCTATATGGGAAGATGCGGGAATCATGATTCATTAGTCTTCTGGGGTAATTGATTAGTTATTTTTAAGATCATAATTCTTAAATCATTGATGGTCTTTTCCTTTACAATGTTGTACTCATTATATAAAGTTTTCTCTTAGTTCTGCTCACTTTACTTTGCAACAATTCACATAAGTCTTCCCAGGTTTCTCTGAAACTTACCTCTTTCATTTCTTATGGAGCAATAATTTTATATTACTTTTCTATTCCATTATTTTTCATTCACTCCCCAATTGATACATAATTATTTTGTCTCCAATTCTTCCTATAACAAAAGTGCTGCCTTAAATGTTTTTGTACATAGGGGTCTAATCCCTTTTACTTCGATCCCTTTGGAGTATGAGTGTAGCAGTGATATTGCTTGGTCAAAGGGTATGTGAATTATTGACTTTGCAGTGATAGTTTCAAATGACTTTCAAGAATATTTGGGTCACTTCATATGTCCACCAACTGTATACTTACACTCTGATAACCTATCAGCAATGGTAATTTTCCTATTTGCCATTTTTTCCAATCTGATGGTGTAAGGTGGGACGTCATAGTTGTTTTGACGACCATCGCTATTATTATCATTAGTGATTTGGAATATGGTTATATTTTAATGTGGATAGCTAACCATTTTTCTTTGGAGAACTGCCTGTTTTTATCCTTTGACAATCATTTGTGATTCTCTATTTATTTTGAGTATCAGACCTTGATCAGCAATGTTTGCTGCTAAGACTTTTTCCCAGTCAACTGTTTTCCTTCTAATTTCAACTGCATTGGTTTTGTTTGTACAAAAACTCTTTAACAGTATCTAATAAAAATTGTCCATTTTAGCTCCTCTGATCATTTCTATCCTTTGGTCCAGAACTTTCCTCATTCATAATTGCTCCTGTTCCTCTACTTTGTTTATGGTAATGACCTTTTGCATCCATTTGGAGTTTATTTTGGAATATGCTATGAGTTGTTGCTTTAAACCTTACTTCTGCCAGGTTGCTTTCTAGCCATCCCAGTACTTTCTGTCAAATAGTGAGTTCCAGTATCTGGAGTCCTTGAGCTTGTCTTTGTTCCTAAATCTGTCATTTTCAGAGTTTTGTGTACTTAATGTGTTCCACTGATCAACATTTCCACTTAACCAAATATATACCAAATATATTTGATGACCACTGCTTTATAGTAGAATATGAAACCTATACTACTAGATCTCTTCTCTTTACTCCTTTTAACTATTTCCTTTGAAATATTTGACTTTTGTTCTTCTAAATGAATTTTTAAGTTATCCCCTTCTAGTTCTACAAAGTAACCCATTTCTAGTTCAAATGGCATGACATTGAATCTGTAGGTTAATTTAGGCAGTACTATTTTTTTTTTTATTATATTGGCATGATCCAACATTGAGTATATCTCTCCATTAATTTATGTTTGTATCTGTTTCTCTAAAGTACTTCGTAATTTCATTCATACAAATATATCTGTTATCTGTGTCATAGTTTCTGGACTCAGATATTTTATACATTCTACAGTTATTTTGAATGAAATTTCTTTCCCTGATCTCTTTCTGCTGCCTTTTTTTTTTGTTATGTAGGAAGATTAATTTATGGGAGGTTGTTTTCTGTCTTGTTACTTTACTGAATCTACTGGTTCAGTTTTTTTTTTCAATTGACTCTGTAGGATTCTACAAGTAAAGATGTCATCAGTAACAGAGACTTTCCTTTGCCTGTGCTTACTGCTTAAATTTATTTTTCTTGTCTTATTGTTATAACTAATATTTCTGCGACTTTACCAAATAATAATAGTGAAAACTGACTTCATTACTTTACCCTGGATCTTATTCAAAAGGCATCTCACATTTCTCTATTTCTGATACTATGAAATCTTTGATTTAGATAGATGGTATTGACCAGGTCAAAGAACAGTCCATTTATTTCCAAGATTCTTAGTCTTCTGAGCATAAAGCATTTTTGTATTTTGTCAGAAGCTTTTTTAAAGTCTATATAATCATGAGATTTTTATCATTTTGTCATGATGTAGTCTATTATGTTTATAGTTTTTTCTACTATTGAACCAGTACCGCATGCTTAGGAAAGGGAATTTAGAGCTTGGAAAACATATTCAGCAGTGATACAACATTGATTCATCTGGACACAGTCTTCCTGCTTTTCTGTTGCTCATGATGGTAGGCTGATCCTTTTTCCCTCTGTAGGCCACCAAGAAGAAACATCAAAGTTTAGAATCTTTTGACCCTCGTATCCACAAAGTCTCCAGGACAATTTCAATACATTTTCTTCAGTCATGTCAAACTCTTCATGACCCCATTTATTTATATATACTTTTGGCAAAGGTACTACAGTGGTTTGCCGTTTCCTTTCCTAGCTAATTTTACAGATTAGGAAACTGAGTCATACAGGTTTAAGTGACTTGCTCAGTCTAGCAAAGTATCTGAGACCAGATTTCAACTCATAAAGTTGAGCTTTCCTGACTCCGGGTCCCATAGTCTATCTGCTTCACCTAGCCACCCCTTCTCTACATTTTAAGGGAAAACAAACCTACCTGGTATGAACATAGGGCCTTAGGATATTGCTACCCCCATAGGTATATTGTCTGATTGTTGCCATTTTATTTAAGGAAATTATCTATTGTTTCTATGGTTTGTTCTTTATTCACTCATTCCTTGGAATTAAGTTATTTAGTCTCCATTTTTGTTTGAATCCTTTCTTCAATAGTCCTTGTTAATCATATTTTTTATTGTGCTGTGGTCAGCAAACAATATCTGTAGTATTTCTGCTTCTTTGCATTTGAGTTTTTTATACTCTACTATATTGCCAATTTTTGTAAAGCTGCTATGTACCTTTCTATTCTCCTTCAGTACAGTAATTCTTTCCACATCGTGGGGCTTAGGGGCATGGTTCCCCCGTGATCTGGAAAATCCATGTAGAATTTTTTGGCTTTCCTTTCATACCAGGGAAGAAGTCTGAATTATTATGGTATTAAAAGATAAAATTAAAATTAAAAGATAAAAGTTTCTAAACTTTTTCCTGTATCATCTGCTAGCCTATCATCTGCAGTTTCTACAAAACTCCCAAAAATTCCCATTAAATTTCTTATACTGACCCATGATATATGGAAACTGCAATGGGGAAAGTTGCAATGTGGAAGGGATAATGGTAGTCAGAAAGATCTGAATTCTAATTCTGCTTCAGACACTAGCTGTGTTATCATGGGCAAACCACTTAAGTTACTTAAGCTCTGTCAGCCTCAGTTTCTCCATCTGTAAAATGGAGATGAATAGCACCTACTTTTCAGGATAGTAGAAGGATCAAATGAGATCATATTTGTGAAGTGCTTTGCAGACCTTAAAGTTCTACAGAAATGCTATTGATTATTATTAACAACACAATAAATATAGACATCTGTCCTAGAAAAGAGTTCTAAAATTCTATATAGCTCCTTAGTTTCTTTCTTGTTTATGTTTTTGTTAAGTTTCCCTAGACCAGAAAGGGGTACATTGAGGCCCCCTCCCAATTGTTATAATTTTGTTGTTTTTTTCTCTCTATTTCAAAATAACCTTTTCATTAAATAATTAGATGTTATGTCATTCAGTGCATTTCTATTGAGTGCTGATATTATTTCATTATCTATGGTACCTTTAAGTATCCCATAGTTTCTTTGTTTATCTCATTTAAGCACATCTAATGTTTTTGTGCCTTGCCCAATAATAAAAGTAATAGTAGTAGTAGTAATGATAATACATAATGTGACAATATTAACTAGCTAATAATCATAACTAGCATTTATATAGCCCTTCAATATTTATAAAACACATTATAAATATTATCTCAAGATCACGATCGCAATCCTCAAATTCACCTACAGCAATAACACATTTTGCTCTAACCCTTCCCAGGAACAGCTCTTGTTTTATATAAGCTGGGTTCAAAGCCCTGTAAGGGCTTAAGGAGGCTACTCTTGGGATCATAATTGTTCTGCTTTCTTGCCACCTATTATAGAAAAGGCCCAGTCTATGGTTAGTGTTCTTAGACTAATTCTCTCTGCCCTGTGTCTTCCTGACCTAGAGTGGCCCGTTGCTGTGATTAATGAGGAGGTGGAAGGGAGTAGCATTTTATCTGAATTGTATCCTTTTTAATCTTGCCTTAAGTAAAAATTTTATTGCTTTTTTATAGTCTATGAGTGGCTCATTACATTCTAATTCAGAGCCTGAATCACTGGACTGGTCTGAGTTAGCAAACACAAGGAGGCATCTGCTGGGGGCAGTTTGAGGCTTATTCCCGTACAGAGATATTCAGACTGTTTCTCTCATCTACTCAAACAGCAGCCAACAGGAAATAAGAGATTCATTTTTGTTGGTTAGTATTTTTTGAATGTACCCTAGGTCTGGCTCCGTAACCAATCACACCTCATATCTTCACCATGTGGCTAGCTGGTCAATCACAGGCTTAGCTAGTCACACAATTTCAATATACACTAAATATTGGGATACAGGACCTTCCATTACACATCATCATTCCTTTTCTGCAAGTAGGTTCCCCCAGCCTCTTCCACGTGGACACCGCATCAGCTAAGCACAATATGCGTACTCATATGTTCACTTTCCGTTTCCTCTATATATGTAAGTATATGGTTAAGTAATTGGAGGAAAGGATTAAATGATGATAAAGTGTTTTGTATAGCAGGAAAAGAGACAAATGTCCCTTCAGAATCCTAATATATTCAAGGGTCACAGAGGGAGTTAAGTAAGATAAACAGAGTCAGGGTGTGGTTTCATTCAGTTTTGTTGGTTTTAAGAGAGGAAAGAAAAAATTGGGAAAGAAAACATGCTAGAGAAGTAATGAGACCGTGGGAGTACTTTAATATTTCTCATAGTTAAAGGTGAATGAGGACATTACAAAAACATGGAGGAAGCAGTGAAGGAAAAAGGCATCTCATGAATGTACTTGTTTCTAATTAGACAAAGGAGCATTGACCACACAAACACATAAAGAGTTTGTTATAGAAATGGATTTAACTCAACCTGTACAGAGCTGGGAGTGGGGAAAAGATAGTAGGGGGCAGTAAATTCAGGAAAGGAAAAGTCACCAACAAAATGAAACATTTTGGGGGTCGATCATAAAGGGAGGATTAAAAAGAGAAAAAGAATGGGAGAACCAGAAGTTGTCTGGACATGGTGAAGAGAGAATGACCGTGGGTAAGCTACATACCTTAATTCATTATCATTAATGGTGAGCAGATTTCTTTCTTTTCCCTCCAAAACTTTCTTCATGGCAAAAAGAGGAACATATGGAAAAGAAGAAAAAGCATAAGAGGTTATAATCGTGGAAAATACACAATTAAAAATCATATCAGTGAATTTGAATGGGATGAACACTTCCATAAAATTAAATAGAGTAGTAAAACAGATTAGAAAGCAAAATAGATAACACATTGACAAAAAATACATCTGAAACACAAAAATTTATATAGTGTAAAATGGGGTCATTTTATTCTGGGCCTGGTCTACATTGGGCCAGTCCAGTAATTTAGACTTTGGATCAGAATGCAATGAGACACTCATGGACCATAAAAATGAAGTGAAAATTAATTTAAGATTTAAGAGGATGGAAATTGGACAAAATATCATTATAATAATAGCATTTATATAATACTCAAAGTAAGTACTTTATAAATATTATTTTATACCCTCCTAACAATCTGGGTGGTAGGTGCTATTATTATCCCTGTTTGTAAAACAGGAGGAAAGTGAAGCAGACCAAGGTTAACTGAATTTCCCAAGGTCACACTGCTAGTGAGTGTCTGATTTCAGATTTTAACTCAGAGCTTCCCAAGTCCAGGTGCAGGATTCTACCCACTGCACCACCTGGCTACTGCCCTCCCCTGTCTCCACATTTTCACCATAGCAACTAGCCATTCTGGGTCAGAAAGTTCCTTCAGAGTGGTGAGAATTCTTCTAAAACCTTCAGCATAACCTTCCCATGAAACTTCATCAGGAAGTTTCCTCATTTGTTCTCTGAATAGTGGCCAGTCATTATACTGATCAGAGTTCTCAAGTTTCGGGAAGCTGATTATCTTTACAATGTTTTTGTTGTTTAAATTATTTTACTGCTTCTACTCACTTTATATACTCACTTAGTTCTTAAGAGTTTTCCTAAGTTTCTTTGAAACTGTCCTTTTTATAATTTCTTATGGAACAACAGTATTCCATTGCCGTCATAAGTTGATGGGGCATGGTAAACTGTGGGCCCTGGAATCAGATGAGGTCTGATTTTGAATCTCAACTTTGGTATTTAGTTCCCTCCTCTGGAAAATGAGGAAATTTGTGATTAGTATTGGATGAAATCGTGCAAAAAAATGCTTTTTAAAATTTATATTACTATATAAATGACAGCTGTTACTGTTACCTCTTCAGGTGGGTTTTGGGATACATAATCAATAGTCAAATAACTTTTTTATTAAATAACTAGTCCTCCAGTGAACCTTCCTAAGCTTTCAATTCCTTATACTCCAAATCTGAAAAGAAAAAAACCCACCAATTTAACCGTTTTGACTAAGAATTTTCTCAATTTAGTCCAAAACTAGCTCTTAAATTTATTTTTGGACTATATTGGCTAGTTCTTTTTTTCCCCAAACCTTACTTTCCTCACCTCCCACCTTAAATGGATCAAGCTGAGTTAGCTTAATCATTAGGAAGAGTACTGGGTTGTTCTACCCCTGTTTCTGACATAAATTCCACGTGAGGCCTTTGGTAAATCATTTAAGTTCTCTTTGTCTCAGTTTCTCTACAGAATAAGATGGTTATTCTAGATAATCTTAAAAAACAGCTCAAAGATTCCCTGATGAATTGCCTACAGCTTTCTCATGGACCTAAGACTTCAACTCACATAACCTATTGCCAGCTAAGCTTATTCTTTGCCCCTGCTTTTCCCTCCTGGAAAGACTTCACCAAACTAGGTTCTGGTCTTTTTATTAATTAACTATAAATATATATATGTATATATGTGTATATATGTGTGTAATTAACAACTTCTCCAAAAACACCTAACCATTAATAATAAAATTTTATAATCACCATAAAACTGTCCAGGGCATGGAAGATGGTGCAATAACTCACCCCTAATTGCTTTTATCCTCCTGCCCACAAACTCAGTAGGTGGAGAAATGAATTCCAATCCTGTAATTCATGCCTGGTCATGTTTTATTGTTTAATTTACTTATAGTACTTAAACCAAAATAGTGTCCAGTACTCAAACATTACGCAAACTCACAATGCAGCATGTGATGGGCAGTCAATAAGCATTTATTAAGCACGTACTGTGTGCTAGGTACTGTGCTAACATCTGGGGAAGCAAAAAATGGAAAAAGACAGTCCCTGATCTCCAGGAGGTCACAATTTAATAGGGGGACAACATGCAACCAACTATGGACAAACAATAAACATTGGATAAATTGGAAACATTCAATAGAGGGAAGTCACTAGCATTAAGGGGGTGTGAGCATTTATACTTCAGAAACTGTCAGGTACTACAAAGCAAGGCTTGATTTAATATAGTATTGATTGTCTACACTTAAGAAAGTTATGGGGAAAATGTTGATAATGCAGATTAAACTTATAAATGCATTAACTTTTTTCAGAGAACTGGTTGCCAAATATTTATTAGCACACCACTGATTGAGGGGGAAAGAGAGAGATTTTTTTTTGCAGAAAGTGGGACTTTAGCTGGTATCCAGGAGGCAGAGATGAGAAGAGAATTCTATGCATGGGGAACACCTAGTGAAAATGTCTGAGTGAGGAGTCTTGTGCAAAGATACTGGACCAGAGTATGGCAGCAGGGGAAGGGTGTAAGATGTAAGAAAACTTGAAAGGAGTGGGGGCTAGGCTATGAAGATATTTGATATCAAACAGAGGATTTTATATTTGATCAGAAAGGTAAAAGTGTATCACTGGAGTTTATTGAATAGGAAGATAATAAATGAAGGATATACTGGAGTAGAGTGAGACTTCAGGAAGGTAGACTAACTGGCAGGCTATTTCAAGAATCCAGACATGAGGTGATGCGGGCCTGCAGCAGGGCAGTGGAAGTAACAGAGGGGAGAAAAGGATGTATTAGACTAATTATTTGAGAGATGTTCCAAAAGAAAAATTGACACATCTTGACAACAGATTGGATATGGGGAGTGGAAAACAGGAGTAGAGGATGACTGGTTACAAGCCTGGGGGACTAGAAGGTGGCGTTATCCTCATTAGTAATAGAAAAATTAGGATGAGGGGAGGATTGTGGTGGAAAGATAGTAACTTTTGGATATGTAGAGTTTAAGATGTATATGCCATTATCTAGTTTAATATACACAATACAAAGTTGGATATGTGCATCTAGATGTCAGCTGAGAGGCTATAGGTTGATAAATAGATCTGAGAATCATCAGCATAAAGATGATCATTGAACCCTTTGGAGCTAATTATATTACTTGGTGAAATAGAATATAGGGAGAAGAGAAGAGGAGCTAGGACAGAGTCCTGGGAGAGACCAGCCATTGGAAGGAATGATGAAGATCCAGCAAAGGAGACTGAGAAGTAGTGTCTAGGGACATATGAGGAAAACCATGATAGAGTAAAATCATGGAAACCTGGGGAGAAGAGAGTATTCAGGAGAGAAGGATGATTGACAGTGTCAAAGGCTGCTGAGAGGTCAAGAAAGATTAAGAAAAGGATATTAGATTTGACAATTAAGAGATCATTAGTGGCTTTGGAGAAAGCAATTTCAGTTGGATGATGATGTCAGAAGCCAGACTACAGAGAGTTAAGATGAGAACTAGAAGAAAGTCATAGAGACATCAATTGTAGATGGACCAAAAATGGTCCATTCTTATTATCTGTTCTTTCTTATCTGTGCTAGGATGCAGGTAAGTCTGTGCGTTTGATTGAAGGCCAGTTTGTACTTCCCATAGGGTGTATTAACCCAATCTTTTACCATAGGGACTGAGAAGTATGTGAAAGGAGGATTGGGGAAAAGGAAAATTTTTATTTTGAAGGTAAAGAAGCAGGAGTAAAAAGGGTTTTTTTTATACATCTTAATACAATTATTTGCAAATGACTTAAAAATCAATTTCTATTTCTCACATAATATAGTTTGAGTAATCATTTCTATCTTATGTCCACAAGCATTTACTAAGTACCTACTATGGGCTAGGCAGTATGCCAAGTGCATTATAACCTTCATTATAAAATGGTCTGGCTTATTCTCTTGTGGGGTGGAGAATGGATTATGAATGGACACTTCATTTCCCCAGCAGATTTTTTTGACTTGCTTGTTTATTTTATGCTGAACTGAAGAAATAAAATGTGTTTCTATAACATAGTAGAATAGAAAAAAAGATTATTGCACACGAAACTGCAAATCTATTAGTGTAATTTGCTACTCCTTTTAAATGTATAATAAAGTTATCGTGTAACTCTTTCTTCCCCTTTTTTTCTTCCTTCCCCCTCACCCCCACCGCAGAGATAAGGGATTGAAATTGTCATCTTCTGTGTCTCCCACAGCACTTAGCACAAGGCTGGACATGCAGTAGGTGGTTAATAAAGTTATCATGCAAGAAAGAATTAAAGTGTTTAAAGATTGATTTTGGACAACCTTACTACCAAAATGCATATCCAGCATGGCCATGCACAGGCATATATTCTCTCACACACAAATCACCATCACCACAAGAACAGGCAAAGTTGTGCTTCCAGAGAGGAACTAGAGAGTGATTTGTGCCTCTCAGATCTACATAGTAAGAACTTTTCCAAAACACAGGAAGCCAGTCCTGTCTACTTTCCCTCCCTATCCAATACCTCAGGCCTTTCCCATCTTTCTGGTCAGCCACAGCCTGGCTTGGTTACATGTCTCTTTCTCTCTTTCTCCTCTCACCTCATATTTTCCTTCTCAAATACACTTTAGTAATTTGTTTGTACTCCTCCTGCCCTGCCTATCCTATTTTGTCTTATATCATAGTTATTTCTATATTTGCCTTGTCTTTGGCACTTGGATCAGGACTGTGTAAGTTTCATCTTTATATTCCTATTGCATAATAAGGGAATTTAAAATAGTAGGTCCCCAATAATGGTTATTGAACAAATGAGTAAATGAATGCATTTTATTTCATTCTCCATGGAATACATAGTGCCTTCTTAGCTACTATGTCCTGAATGATAGACAAATGCCCCATCTACTGTGTGAGACCAGAAACATCAGCCAACTCTTTAACTTGCTTTCCTTCCTT